AGGTAAGTATAGCAGCTGGAGCTGCTTTTTTATTTTCAAGATCTGCCGGGCATTGATAATATTAAAACTTTGCTCAAGCTATAATTGTGCTTTTAGCTGCCCACTGAAGTTAAATCTGATTGTACCATCTGCTTTAGATATACAAACAACTGCAGAATGTAGCGTGAAGGCTATTCATTTAGGTTATAAAATAAATGGATGGTTTGGGTAAGGCCTTCTACTACATTGTACAATTAGATTGTGAGGCTGGCATTAGCTTGGTACTTCAGAATGCTCAGAGGGATGCTGAGATAAATAGGATTTTTGTATTTGCAATAAAATCCTATTGTTGGAGCCCTTTAAGGTGACTGCCACCTACAAGACACACTGGCAAACAACAAAACTGTTGGTCAGCCTAAGATAACCCTTTCGACTACCAGCAAATAGTACTGAGAGCATGATCATCAACACAGAGGGGTGGGACCTGTGTCCCTCAATGGATTCTAAGAATAGGATTTTACAATAACTACAAAAATCCTATTTTCTTTCTCATACGTTGACAGACACAGGGTGACTTTAACCTTTGGAACATCATACAGTAGTCCAAGTGAGGGGTGGGCAACATATCAAACAAATGCTAACAAGCCCAAGAAAACAACAGAGAACTGGAAATTGCGTGCAGCTCACAGAGCTGTCTGAAGGATCTTATGCCTGAAGTTTGCATCAGATGAGCCCAATTGTCTATCTGTTAAAGGCAAGAGAACATGTAAACAGAAGACCAGGTGGAAGTCCAATTTTCCCTTTAAATTTTATTGTAGTATTTCCACTTTCACAGCCAAATTGGGATAACACCTATTTTATTTAATTCTTTACATGTTCCCATTCACATAGCATAATATAAAAAAATAATAAAGAATGCTTCTTACAGTGTAAATTGCTTTTACTTGGGTTAGGTTAAAATGTCTTCTTGGTTTCTCCTTCTTTGTAATATTAGAAGAGACTTTGGGGGATTTGTGTTACCCCTGTCTGCACTGTGCTGGCTCATTTTATTTTGATTTGTAAAGTATATTTGAATACCGCCTGTCCTACAAAAGGTTAAATGATTAAAATCCTGGCTTCTGCATTGTAGGTTAATGAAGTTAATGAGAAAAACACAGTACACACAGTTTTGTCCTAAGTCTTTCTATAATGAGGGGCCACTGAGAAGGTGCTCAGAAAAACCTGAATCCAGCCATTTTACCTGCTGCAACTAAACATCTAAAAAGGTAAGAAATATATGTTTTTTAAATAACGTTTCAGTATGCTGTGTGAAAGGGAACACATAAACATATAGTGGGGTTTTCTCAAATTTGATTGCAAAAGTGGAAATGAACCTTAAGACTATAAGCTTAGATGATAGTCTGTCTGAGCCCCCTAGAGATGGTGGAACTGGAAGCCAGTGTGCCCTTATGGGTTCCATCCAGGATTACAGAAAGGAAATCAGTCTTCCTGAAAGGATCAGTGGCTGAGAGATAGACTCTCATAGCTCACACAACAGAAAATGGAAGGACATTTTCTTTTGATGAAAGGCCAAAAAAAAAAACTGGTTGATGAGAAAAACTGAAACTACCTTCGGCAAAAGGAAGGCCTGGGCCTCAGCACCAATTTGTCCTTTTATAAAACCTGAAGAGGTTGCTTGCAGGACAAGGCCGCCAGGTAAGACACTCGCCTTGCACAGCTGAGCATCCACTGCTTCTGCTAAAGGATTCCTTTATTCTGACAATGACTAAGTCTTCTATACCAACATGGTGCACAGGACTCCTCCCCAGACTGGCAAACTGGCATCCATCATAAGGATCCCTAAAAAGAAAGGAAGGAAGGTCTTCCCTGACTCCAGAGCTGCATTCCTGAAGCACCAGATTAGGAACAACCTGGTCCTTGGTGGTAGACAATCACATTTTCTACAGACCAGATTGACTTTTACCATGAAGACAAAAGGTTGTGCTGTAGGGGTCTGGAGTTGAAATGGGTAAATGGGACTGCCTCAAAAGAGGCCACCGTCAGACCTAGGAATCTCATGCAAAAGCAGAGATTCAGATGGTGCCTGGACTTGAGAGTTCAAATCTGAGACCGGAATGTCTGAAGTTTTTCCTATGAAAGCAATACTCTGGGGTCGAGCTGCGTCTAGGCCTAGCCTCAGATACTCCAAATAATAAGTTGGTTCCTGCAACAATTTCTAATGGTTTAAGATGTATTCAACGAGACAAAGCTAGTGCAGCATAGAAAAGTTTTGATTGATGAAATTAATCGCAGAAGGATAAAAGAAGAGGACTGTAAAAGGTTCTAACAAAAAAATAAGTTAGCCTTTACCATAGAAGAGATAGCAGAGCTGCAGAAAAGACATCCATCCTCTTGAGACACTAGCAAAAAACTGATACATGCTGGCAGTGGGAGGGGTTATCCTGGGATGGCCTACAGTTTTCTCTCCTGTAGGTAGCAGTATAACCAGGAGGGCAAAGAAGGACTTCCTGTGTTCCTCAATAGACGAGAAAGAAATGAAGCTTTCACTTTCATCACCATTCTTTCCCTAGTAACATAATTCTATACAGAGAATATTCTCACTCTTGTGAGGGCCGGCCATTTGTAGAGGGAATATAATGACATGGAAACGGCTATTGCTGACCTCAAGTTTCTGCTACAGTATCTGCCTGATGGTCATGCTAATTCAATACTATACTTTACTGTCATAGAAAAGGTATTCAGATAAGGACGGTGGACAGGTAAGCACGGCAGCTAAGGAACTAGCATTTTCAATAGTTCAGCAATGCCATCCTCAGTATTTCACATCTTTCAAGAAAAGTGTACTTTATCATCGGTAAGCAGCGTCCTCAGTGGGCTCATTTAGATGCCAATCCCTGCCACGTACCACCCAGTAGGCGGGCATGCAGCAATGGAGTATGTATGAGACTTAGGGAAACATTGAGCAGTCTTATCTAACATGATGGAACAATTATAGGCAGTTGATAGTCACACTTACCTGTAAAACTGTAGAGAAGGTTTTACTGATAAGAGCACAAATGGTGCCACAGTATAGCTGATTGCTACTTGTGTTGCCATCCACGTCATGACATCGTATATAAACTTGAGTTCAGGAGAACGTAGAAAATGGTGCCGAACATTGTTTCTAATCTGCAAAAAAGCAATATAAAAATGTATTATGCTGTTAAACAGCTATAATCCTGTTAAGGCTAAAAGCTAAACTCCAGCAAAACAATTAAGTACATATAAATACTTTTTTGTTATGCTACTTAGCTCCATCTAGTGGTCATAATATTGTATTTACCTGATATTACATTCAATCTAGAAAGAAAATATGGAATTAAAATTCATTTTTGCCTCCATTCACACAGAACAAATGTACATCCAATTCCTTAGGGTGAATGGCTCTGTGAATTGTTCATAAATACACCCCTATATGTCCAAAAACTTGTGGATACCTAACCGTCCCATGTCTGTGAAGGTTCTCTTTTATCTAGGTCATGGTATATCTAGTAGTAGTTACTGTATATGGTCAACTATTAGTCCAGTACTGTCATGGATTGGGACTCATAGGTATGAACTGGAGTACGGTATGTGGACCCTTTCCACTACACTGGCAGGGACCCTCAGATAAAAGGGTCCAAGCAGTGTAGGCTGACGACTCCCAGAGCTGGAGTACAAGCAGGGGAACTGAATGAGGCAGTGGAAGTCAGCTAAAGCTGGAAGTTCAAATACAAGGCAGGGTGCTGCAATGCTGAGTAGGTGGCATGGGATGCCGAGTAGGTGGCATGGGGTCCCCCAGGATGTGGAATCTAAGAGCCAGCCGGTATTCGCCAGAGCTCCTGATGGTGGAGATGGGCTTGGCTGCGTGCTGACCCCAGGTCACAATCCCTAGGTCCACCCAACTCACCTAACAGGTACAGGGTACAAATCAAAGGTTAAGGACAGGCTGAAGACTTCCAGGGACCAAGCGAAGTACAGCGTAGACTGTAGACAGGGATTTCCAAGGACAAATGGGAAGCACAGGGCAGCCTATAGACAGGGATTTCCAAGGACAAAAGCGGCGCACAGGGCAGCCAGACAGGGATTTCCAAGGACAAGCCAAAGGTTCGGTACACGGGAAAACTTCCAGGAATTCAGGGTAAATCACAAAGGGGGGACTCGGCAACTAGCTTAGGAAAGCGTTGCTCGGGCAGCGTGCTGTTCGCTGCCCTGGGTTTTAATAGAGACAGGAAGAGGGAGGATCCACAGGATTGGCCACAAGCGGACTGCACTGATTGGCCGAGAAGCTGCATAAGAAACAGCAGGAGAGGTCGGCCGACGCCTAAAGCTTGCAGACAGGTGCAAGTGTGAGTCAGGTTTAGAGCACATGCCTGGAGGACTACAACCCCCAGCACAGCCCTGTATGCCTGCAGAACCAGGGGTAAGAGATATGTATATACTTGAACTACAAGTAACAGCTCAGCTGCAAGTATGCAGCTGAACTGTGACAAGTACTGACCATCCTCACAAATATGAGCTTGTTGGCTATCCCATTCCAAAAAATTGGAATGGGCACTAACATGTAGGTGAACCCCTTTGTGACTATTTTGGCCTCCACTCTTGTGAGAATAATTTTCACAGGATTTTGGAGTATGCCTGTGGAAACTGTGGAAATTTTGGGGTATTCAGCCAAAAAAACCTTTGTGAGGTCATCCCAACGATGTTCAGTAGTGATAAGGTCAGTGTTCCATGCAGGCCACTAGAATTCCTATGCACCAAAATCAAACTGTGTCTTATGGGCCTGGCTTTTTGCACAAACATAGATGTTAGAACAGAAATGGGCCTTCCCGAAACTATAGCCATAAGTTTGGAGGCACAAAATTGTCTAAAATGTTTTTTATATGCTGTAGCATTAACAGGACCCTTTACTGGAAATACTTGAACTCAATCATTTGGAGGGATTTCCATATACGTTTGGCCATATAGTATATATTAAAGTGAACCCAGTTCACCTGAGTTTGCCCAGGCCCATCCAAAACTCTCACTGCCAACCCCTCCTCCTGGCCCAATCAGTTGTGAAGAGGCGTACGGATTGGAATGGAAGGGGGTGGGAGCAGTCACAGCTTTCAGCAAGCTTGGGCAAACTCAGGTGAATTGGGTTCACACCACGCCCAGGTTAATCTCTAGTTATAAGCTATGTTTAATGGCTGGGTAGGCTGGCAAAAAAATTGTATCTAGGTCAACTTTACTTACATTTCGGGCTGCTAGTGTCATCAAACTGCCAGTGAAGAAGGTCATGTAATACCCTGGATATACGCCGTGCCAAATAGCTGACAGTAGAAAGGTTTGAGCTGTAGGGCTGTAGGTGGCTCGTTCATAACTTACTCTGAGGAACAAAGGACAGACAGTTATTTCCAATACAACCACACAGGTGATTAACCTCAAGAACACCAAGGGGTCCATCTTCCGCCCAGCCATATGCTGGTGGAATGCCATTTGCACAGCATTTCCCCCATTAGGTGGAGCCAAGGAGCATGCTCCTGTGAACGGCATTACTCAGCATATGTCTGAGCAGAAGATTTATGAAGAGACCCTTTCATGTGTAGTTGCACTTTCCCTTAACATTACATAATTGTACTCTTCTCTGCAAACTATAACAAATGCCACTTTAAAGTGTTACCTTTATGGAAGATAAATCCTGTTTTCAGCACCATAGCCTGGCCATGTTTTTTGCATTCATCTTATCTGTAAACAAGCTGTTCCTGTCCACAGCTAGAAGACGATGTTTGGGCAAGAGATCTGCTTTGCATTAAAAGCAAACTCCACCTTTGTGACATTGTTCCATGTTCACCTTTTCGGTAGTTTTAATCAGATCTGAGTGACTGCCATATTTCTTGTTTGGGATTTGGTGCAGACACACTGAAAGTCTTCAGTTGCCTTGTATGTCTGGCCTTCTGGTGTGTTGTTGTACCTTTTAGGAGGATGGGGCTGCCTCCAGGTGAGTTTGCTCTATGTTTGTTCATTTCATATACTGTGTCCTATAGTTAGGAAACTCAGATATTGTAGAGTTAGGAACCTCATTTATCAGAGGTGCCTTGCCGTCGCAGTGTTGCTTCCCCATATATCTGCGGATGTATATAACTAAACCCTTTTTTTAACCTGAGTAAACACTTTTCCATTGATTGCTTCCTCCATTCCCATAACCGACGGTCTGTGCATGGGGAGAACCAGCCTGCAGGAACCTCTGCATTGCATCCGCAACCCACTGATCACAGTTGCAATGCTTTGCAGATTTCAATCTAAAAAATTAATCAAGGTGCATTTTTTATTTTATTAATGCTTGTGCATTTATTTTTTTGGAGAAGTTGGATTACACCTTTAAGCTGAATGAGCAACCTGTTTCCAGGAGCAGTTTTGTTTTAGAGTACAGATGGTCCAGACAGGCTGACAGCGGCTGTGATTAGAGACAGATGATCTCCCTTGGAAGCAAGCTGCTTTGTGTCTAGGGGAGATCATCTGTCTCTCAACTGATCCACGTACAATTACATCCGAACATGGGTGGACAGCTGCGGCCACTGTCAGCCTGTCATTGCTTTCTGCAAGGCGAGCAGCCACAGCTGTCCGGAACCACCTGTAATTCCACAACAATTTGCAGATTGCTGTCACAGTAATCTGGAGCCTGACATAATGTCAGAGTCCTAGAGACCGGTAGAGTTGGCTCATTCAAATACCACAGACTTGTCATATCCCTAGGATAAGATCAGGTAACAAGTTTGGCCACCTCAGCTTTCTCTATGCATATGACATTGGTACTGGGTCTAGGACACATAGCTTGAGACGGTGGAAGGGGTTAGTGCAATCCGAGGACGGATTCACTCCACTGCATTATGGTTATGGCTGCATTGGTGCAATGTGGCGCCATTCATTAGAAACTGCACCTCTACAACACACCTGAACTGCAACACACAGTGCAAATAGGTGGGTGCAGGTGCATTATTTTGTCTGATCTGGTGCATCGGCAGCCCATTCAAATGAATGGATTGCTTTAACACAACGTGCATTTAAATGTTTGTGTCAATGCAATGGACCAGTGCAGACAAGTGTGAAGGAGCTTTTAGGCCCTGTGCACAGTGTTCCCACCAGTCAGAGGATCCCACAGTGCATAAAACATAAAGACACAGGTACATGCAGCGTAAGGCCATTTGCACACAGTTTTTTTTAGATGGATCTGACCAGAACCCAATGTTAGTCTATGGGCAGCCTAATCTAAACAGATGTGTGCCTGTTTACATCGGACACCCCCCATTCCATGTATGTCCGGAAAGGAAGACGGAAAAAAAGTTCCATTTTGGCGGACCTGATTGGGACAGATTGGAGGTGATCTGATGTAAAAGGACACGTCTGCTTACATCCGACTCACCATAGTTCTATTGGGAGCTCAGTGTTATCCTTCATCGCAACATGGAGTAATAAACTGAATGGACATGGATGTCACAAGAGTAACATCTGTTCCATAATTCTCTGATTAGCAGGGAATCTGTACACAGATCCACTACTGATCAGAATGGACAGGGCCCATCTGAAAGGGGCCTTAGATTAGACACCTATAAGAATCTTACTTGTTCCCTTTAAATAAGACAATTGAAAGTGCAATAACCAACAGCAAGCAATAAGATTATGTTCCCATGGAATATTGGGCCTGAGAAGGTAGAGCTGCTTCATTGTTGCATTGTAATCAGATCTTAGTTTACTGTAGCCAGGTAAGAGAGATTTCTGATTGGCTACTAATGGGTCACTGCATTTGGCACAGCATCACTGCACTGTACACCAGCTTGCTGAAATATTTTTTGCTTCTGCAAGCATTCCGTATATTTAGAAGGAACTGTAATCCTCACACCCTAACAAGCAGAAAGAGCTGAAATTGCTTTTGCGCTCATTTGTAAAAGCTGGACCGAAAAAGTTAGTTTTAGTGCAGGTCGGAAAATGGATAAAATTTGAGTAAAAGCTGTGATTTTATAAATCCGTACATCAGTATGTCTGTGGAAATGCAATATGGAGCAGAGAGGAGCTGACATACCTCTTGAGCCACAGCGCAGTCTGTATGTTCCAGTTATCAATAAACATCTTAAAGCTTGTTGAAAACTGAAATAAAAAAATAGCATTAGTAAACGGCTTAATAAAATCCTATGATGCTCCAGGCTGGAATAAAACCCCTGCAGTGGCACCCCCAGCACTGCAAGGCTTAAATGCTTTAAGTCTTGGGGAATATAAAGAGGTTACTTACCTTAACCCCCCCCCCCTGCCCCCCGCTCTGGCAGACTCCGGCGCTCTCCTCTTCTCCCTGCTGCTCCGGGCTGTGGGCAGTCCCTTGGTGTTATCACATACAATACAGGAGTATTAGCCCTGCATTGTAAGGAGATCGCGGCCAGGAGTGCCATCGGGAGGAGTCTTCGCAGGACTGGTCATACAGATGGAGGAAGCCTTCCAGAGCAAGGAATATGGCAAGCACTACTCCTTATTCTTCAACCCCTAGACTTAATAAGCAATTTACCCCTGCAGTGTGTGTGTGTTTTAGGGGAGGGGGGAACTGCAAGAATATTTTTTCTTGTGACCAGAGTTGTGCTTTAAAGAATTTTTGTCTAAGTGCCTTCATTTCACTGAAGTTCATAATTAAGTTAGAGAGACTACATCTAATAATGGGACATAAAGGAGTTGTTAAAGGAGAACTATGAGGTGAGTGCTTTTCACTCACCTCATAGTTCTAGCCAACCTGTGACAATGAGACTGTCACAGGTCGGCTCAGTAGATCGGGAGGTGAGAGAACACATACTGGCGTTCGCTCACCTCTCGATCCTG